CTTCGTATTATCGGAATCCTGTTTTCTGATTGGATGCAGAGCGTCGTACGACAAAAATCGGATGCAGGGTGAATCCAGCATATGAGCATTAATGTAAAAAGGCGGTCATTGGTGGTCATTTCTCAGTTTATGAAAATTTCCGAGGGAAAGAATCGAAGTTCTTGGGTGTACATATAGTATATATGGATGCGTTCCGAGCATGAAGCATTTATGTATGAAACATGTGTATCGTTTATCCTTCTTTATTAATTAATAAACAACAAGGATAAATGATGCATCATACGCTTCTTACGTAACTCAGAACGCACTCCATATAATATAAAAATCCATTTTTACCAATATAGATTAACTTTAATCTCAGTTCAATTTACTTTTCATCTTTTTCTAATTCTTAGAACGAGAAAAAGATGAAGATATTTCTTTATATTAGACTTAGAGGATACCTCTTTGATGCCTTAACCTTGACATATGAGGCGAGTACTGATTAACTTTTCCTTATAAATTAATTCGCGGTCTCTTATAGTTTTCAAGCTATATTTACATAAAACTCATGGAAAGTTGATCAGTACCTTCATCTTTAAATATATGTCAAGGTCAAGGTCATCGAAGAGGTGTCCTCTAATGTAAAGGTTTACCAAGATGAAGTTAATTGAATGATTCAACCATTTAAAATTAAACTACATTGGTAGAAACGCATTATATTGGATGCTTTCCATTTGGTAACACAAGTCGACGAGTGTCGTTTTATTTTTGTTATTCTCTGAATATCATGATAAATATTGTGTAGACTTGTCAATAAATGGAAAGCACTCTCCTATGCTTCATCTTTCCTCTACTTTTGTCTCATATTTAATTAATTATATACTTGTTTCATTTCGAATACAAAAAGTGCGAAAACATACTTCTGTACATATAAAGATCTATAGAAATCAATCTTTCAATTCTTTTATACATCCTTACACATGTAAAGCACATAATATTATGTAATTTGTAACGTTATAACATTATGTAAAAACATACATCTAAATTTCTCTTGAGATTTCTATAAATTAGTGATTAGTTTTTCAAATTGAACGCACGTTTTGATCGTACGTTTTTTATCCTAGAATAAAATTGCGTTCAATAGTTCAAAAATTTTTTTTAATGATAAACAAGGATAAAAACTTGAAAATATAAATTGATGAAAATGTAGCTCTTTGCATGTCCTTGATCAACACAAACATGATATTCAGAATATCGAGAGATATTCAGAATCTCGATCGAGAAATTTGAATGTTTACTTCATTCAAATTAGCAAAATTGAGAAAAAAATTTGGTATAATTTGGCTATTTACAAACATCTTTATTTCTGTTTTACAATACAAAACAATAGTTTACATCTTAGCATAACACTGTTCTCTTTTATTGTAGAAAAAGTTCTTATTCTCTATAATTTTACAGAAGTATAAAAGATGTGTAAGAGAAACTTGCGGTAAAAATTGATACAAGTGTAATAACTCAAAAGATTATACTGATGAATATACAAGCTATTAAATTTACTAATATAATGATTAATACAATGCTAAATGAAGTGTTGTACAAAATTTGAATAGTCAAAAATTGCAGTCAGCTACGTATTATATACACAAAATAAATCACGACTGATTATTACGTAAACGACGTTCGTTGCGCCATATTGTCGCTAATAAATTATAATAAATCTAGTTAATCGCAGCGCGCGAGAAAGCATGTATACTGTGAGCGATTTAATGATCGTAATCTTACATGTATATATATATATGTATATATTCCTAGAAAAATATTTCTATATTACTTTCAATCAACAATATTAAAGATTAACATTTTATAACTGCCAAACGTTACAGTTGAGCGCAATGCACGAGTTACAAACCATTTATAGACTCTTATTTAATTAACTAGTTTCTACTGCATTGAAAAAGATTAGTGTTAACATATTGCGCAAAAATTATCGATATCTAAGTAAACAGATATATACAGTATTACATGCGTACGTCTGGATTAATCCAAAAGTTTAGTCTTTTTGAAATACCAAAAATCGCAAATCATCTTGAGAAAATAGCAAGTATAAAATAAAAATAATTTTATGCCACGATAGGTGAAGTTGCGCAGAATACAAGTTACTGAAAATTAATGTTTGAAAGATAAATCTCTACATGAATTAGTAACCTTTAAATAACTTGATTAGATAACATGGGACATTCATTCAATGAAATGAGATATTCAATGAAATGCGACATTTAACAAATACTTTTACAGTAACAAGTTTGATCTACGGTGATCTAAAATTAACGTGAAAAAAAAGCTAAGTTATTTTGATGGATTCTCGAATCGTCCCTAATCAGAAATGAATATGAGTCACGTAGAAACGAATTTCCTAATTCGTCTGAGTTATTCGATACAATTTTAATTTACATGTGACGCTACTTTGTAAAATGCAAAGTTGTTTTTCTACTCTACGATCTACATCATAGCAAATCTTTATAAATTTCTCTCTTTTTAAATATTCTACAATCGGGAAAACTATTTTACAATATATACAAAAGTACAAGGATATAGAAGAGTTAAGCACAGTTGCATCTTCTTTACGACAGTCTTAAGCTTAGATAACGAAAGCAGTTTTCTGAATGTTTATATGAAATTATCTGAAAGATTTGTCCTGCAAATAACTTTACCGAAGAAAAGTTCAGTTTTCCAGATAAAAGAGAGAAGATATCACGAGTGAGATACAATTTAAAGAGTTGCTGTAAAAAAAGGTTCTTACGTTATCGGACTAAATCTTTTGTACTTGTCAGAACTCGTTTGAAACAACAAGTTTTGTACTTACAAAATGCATTTTTTCTGAGCAATGTTAAGGGAGTACTAAATGCTACTTAAACGCAAAAATACGTGTTTTCTGTACAGCGAAATATCGCCTTATTCATTATTAGAATGATATATATATGTATATATACTGCGTTATTACTTTCTCTATGTATATAATCAATCATTAAGGAAATATATGTCAGAATATTCACAGAGACTTCAATAAAGAATTAAGAAGTACAAGTTACGGAACAAAGTCAAAAAGCAAAATCAATTTTGACGCGATTGTACTAAACTCTAGTCCATACTGACTAAGAACTGTAGATTATGTATGATAATTCGGTAGGAAATTTGAAAATTTTAGAGTTTTTTACAACTCTTATGTACATATGGATTCAAGTGTTTCTGGCTTCATGTCCTCCCATATTACTCTTTCAGCGTATCCGTTTGTTATCAATTCCTCAGTAAGGGAAATTACCTTTAAAAAATTCAATTAATTCAATTAATTTGTACATCAAAAACGCCTGCAAAGAGATTTTCAGAATTGAAACAGTAACTACTTACCCCATAATTGTGTATGATAAAATAAATATTTGCATAAGTATTACTTTGAATACGACCTTCAATCTGCGCTTGTGCAACTCCCTTTGAAGAACAATTCTGTACCACATTGTAAGCTTCTGACGACCATTTACCTGTATGAGTAATATAAAAGTATATAATGTATTCGAAATAATCTTGAATAGAGATATATAAACCATAATCTGGAAAATATATACATTATACATCACATATAATTACCATTTTTTGGCTGAATATTTGCTAAAAAGATTTCAATCGCTTGGAAGGGCAAGCTTAAATAATTTAATATCAATGGTCTACATTCCGAATTGCTAACCGACCAATAACCACCGTAATCGAGTAATCGCACTACGCTTCTCTCTCCCGATGGATCTGGCCATTCAATATATCCTCTAACCCAATTCTCCATCCAATATACAGCCACGTAATCGCCCTCTACAAAACAATGCATTTCATAGTCCCAGTTCTATTTTTTGTATTGATTAAGTTTATATCACTTACTGTTCAATACATCTGGAACTGGTACTGATTCTGTGTTATACCAATACTGCATGCTGTCTTCTAAATTTTGTAAAAGGGGAAATGACGGATGAGTCGGAAGACGAACAAAGAGCCAATTTGGTTTGACGATGTGACAGATATTGATGTCATTATTAACGCCATCAACCAGGGACAGAGGTCGTTGTATAAAGACATTGTACGTAACTTCTTCATTCACCTCGGATATTGTTGAGATCTCCGATAATGTTACTTGCGGGAATCTTTTCTCTGGAAACTTCTGCCTTACCATTTTAAGCGCGACATTAATTCCCTCAACACTGCCTCGTATCGAGCAAATCTTATGATCACCATCGCAAGGGTGATCATTGACGTATATGCCGACGTTTGCCTTTGTACGAATATTGTGTAAAAAGCTACCATGACGACCAATCAATCTGCCCACTAGATGTTGCGGTATAGCAAAATCATACGTGGATGATGCAATGTTGTCTTTTCTGCATCCATTAATACTTCCACCTGTATGAGGACATAAAAATTGATTGTATTCAAGCTGGACGAAGTTGCTGTCATCTAGATCCCACCCAAAGATCTCTAGGAAATAATAATTCATTAATAACTGTATTTTCTTAAAATTGATACTCTACTATTCTATCAATATAAATAAATGGAATATTTCATCTTCAATGATTATCATCGATATTCACCTTTTCCACTATCCGTGTTGCTTCCTTCGCTCCCAGCTTCGTCCGTGACACTGCCGTCCAGAACTACGGAAACCGGGCTGTGATTGGCTGAGTCCCTTTCGTTAACCTCTTGTCCCTGAGTTTTGATAGTGTGTCCCTCGGATTGCTGTTCATTCTCCTTATAATGATACTCATCCGTATAATTTTGTTCAGGTGACCGTGTCTCGCAATGCACAGTCTGCTCCTCATTAGCAACGTTTTGAAATATTCTCGGTTCGTTGTCGTCGTCGTTCTTATTAGACTTGAAAGATGCACTCGTAGCGATCATTTCAAACAAGCTTGTATTTGACTTACTACTGCCAAACTCTACTTCTGTATTGTATATTTCAACATCTTCGTACATATTCTGGCTGCTGCTACAAAAAGCAGATTGCGACGCTGAATTTTTTAACGGAACATCCATGGTCTCGCTGATCTTTCTTGGGATGCGAGTTTGTTCTTCTTCTTGCATGTAGCAGCAGTCAATTGAGGATCCCTGATTGATCTCTTTCTGAACGCTGGAATCATCAATGTTAATGTCAACCTCCTGCGTATTATTTGAAATCGCTTTTTTTACACAGTTCGGTTTTGCAGTCCCCCCTGAGTCATTCCACTGAAGTTCATCTCTGTCTATCCGACGGCGTTTGTACCAAAAGAGAGCGACGACAAGAGCTACCGCCGGAACTGTCCACTTTACAAGTGGTACATGAATAGAAGAATTCATAGTGTGAGTCCACGGTAGCTGCTGTTACCGAAAATTCGTTGATGCTGAAATCAAAGAAGGTACCAATAGTTTTTTAAAATATTATATCAATGAATATTTAAGCGATGATTATTTCATACGATTATATACGTATGTATACATACACTGCCGGTTAAAAGTTTCCGGACATCAAAATTAGCAATTCAATATCTACATTAAATGAAATAGACATTTAACTGAAAAGCAACATAAACTTAAGCAAATTTAATTTATTTGAATATAAAAATAAATCAAATATACAGTTATTCTGTTTGTAAAACCCAGACTTTCTTCTCATTAAAGAAGCGACCTTTCACTTGTAAAAACAAGTTTAACCAATCGCGACATTCTTTCTATAAGTTTCATCAACTTTTGTTGGGATAATTGCTTCCAAACTATTTTCAACGTCTCCCATAAATGTGCGCCTGATATCAGTTAGTGTTTCCTCCACTTCGCAACCCACTTCATCCCTTAATTCAATGGGATTCAAGTCAGGAGATTGCGGTTATTACATAATTTCAATGTCTTCAGATGCTTCGTTGTTCAGTAAATAATTTCGACATAGCTTTGTTTGGATCATTGTCTTGCTGGAAGATAAATCCTCTTTTCACTAGAGGTTCCAGCTGACAAACGATGTTGCGGAGGCTTAAAGTCAGAATATTAAAGTGTCCGGAATCTTTTAACCGAGTGTAATAATTATATTTTGTTATATAAAAAAACTTAAAGTATTCTGTACAAAAATTAATGTTATGAATAATGAATTAAAATCTATTTCGCTTAATGCTAAATTAACACTTGCTGATCAGTGGAAACAGTTTGTGTAAAACGAGACGGTGTGTTAATGTGGAATTCCATGAATTTTCTTCCGTGCACAGCAATTTTTCTGTTTATATATCATATATATATATATAATGAAAATTCTACTTTTAACGGAATATATATAATTATAATTTAATGAGATATTATAATTTCATTAAAATTAAAATAGAAATTATAATTTTATAATATAAATCATCAATCAGAATTAATCACATTGAAATAAGATTTATAGATCATATAAATTTTATATATATAATGTAATATTTTCGATATATATATATATATATAAATATTCTATTTCTATAAACTCATCTCTGTCAAATCATGTTTAAACCAGCATATAGGATTAGTTTTTAAACATTCACTATAACGAAGTAACACTCATGTTCAAAGAGATCTTCAGATCTAATAATGTATACAATTAGCGCTACATTCGCATAAGAAAAATTAATCCAAAAATATTTAAATGTCTAGATTTAAAAAAAAATAGTTTTTAATCTATTGATATCATATATAAATTTAAAAATTATATATGAAAGAGTTAAATATATTCTTGATTTTCATTATTTGAAGGTAAAAACGGCGCAGAACAAAATATTTCATAATGTTTAGCAAGAGAGGTAAAAGTCTCGGATTATATCATCAAAGCAACAAAGCGGAGCTTGTTATGTCATCATTATGATGTTATCTCATAGATGCATATAACGATATAAAGACATAAAAATCTAGAAATTCAAAGCTCTAAACTGTGATAATTAAAAATGTGATATTAAAGTATTTCGTGCTTTTACTTACATTAACGTATGATCGATCCAAGATTAAACATTTCCAGCTGGTCGCGATAATAGAATTTCTTCTTGTATATACAAAATATTTCATTATAATCGCCAAGGGATATGTAGATAGTAACACTACGCAATGTCCTAAAATGAGCCTGAGGCAATACGCGTCGAAATTAATCGGAAGATTGATTATGTGAATACACTATCGACGCCAGCTGGAGTTATACTACGACTCGCAGATTTTCAACACCGAGGACCAGATGGACTGGAACCGTTCGCCGATTATGCAGGCACGATCATGTAAGATGGCATTCACACCGTAAGAGAGAGAACAAGATCTTCGATAACATATAAGGCTATGCAAAAATAATATGAGTAAAAACTTCTGAAAAAAATATTCTAAAATTTCTTTTATCTTTTGGTCAAAATGAAATTTCTCTACAATATAATCATTTTACATATGTCTGCAGCATTTTTATTAGTGATTTTATTATCTCAAGCGATATGTAAGAACTGGTTGATATGATTTCTAGGTCAACAGAAATAAACAAAAAGTTATCAGCACAACATAAAATTCTCATACGTATTCAATTCCATTCAAAACAGAATATGTCTGATCATGTAAGACGTTTTCAAAATTTGACCTAATGCTTGATGCATTCTACTAATTAATGAAATCGATGAAAAAAAATATATCTATAATGAACAAATCCGCAAATAAAAAGAAATGTTCTGTATATAATTGCAACCTGTAGTACCTTCACGATAATATCCGAAATAGAAAGATTGAACTAATTTTGATAAGAAATTACTAATCATCTTTTATCAAAAGTTTCAGATAATATCAATATACGTTAAAAACTTATTGAAATTTCAATACAATTTACTTACAAGATACAATTCAGTTGTAAATCGCGATTAAATTGAATGGATGAAAGTAAGCTTCTGAAATAAGTTGAAATTTTGAATAGTTTTGCGTATTTTTGAAGATATCGAGTCAACAATTTTTTAAGAGTGTTAAACAGAGAGTAAATATATTATACAATAGGAGCAAAATGTTTAAAATGCTTGAAATTATGTTATTGGTTTGAATTTAAAAAAAACGACGAAAACAGCTCAAATCGTAATTACTTTTGGAAATAAAAAGACAAGGACAAAATAACTATGCTGCAGCATTTATAGTGCGAAGAAAAGAGGAAAAAATAAAAAATTGAAATTATATATGTAGAATCATTCAATATAAAAACGAATTGAAACTGATACGTAGAAAAATTGCATTGCATTGCATCACATTACATTTAATTGCATTTTACGTTACATAATCAAATACAAGAAAATATATGTTCTTTTTATGTATTTTTTTAACTTCATCAAAAAGCTATTATAGTAATTAAAAAACTTTATTACATAGAGAGGGAGCAATAATTTTTTTAGCACAGTTATTAAAAGAATGTTAAGAATAATTTCACTGATCATATTTTAATAGGCTTTTAGCTAATAGTTTTTATATAAATCTTACCGTTTTGAAAAGAAGAATCGTTTTTTATTGAATATTATGTTATCATTTAAGATCTACTTATCTCTTTTTTAAGCATTGATGATTTATGCTGCTTTCGAATTAAAAAAATTGGACATTATCACCTCAGAACATGTTAGCGTTATAGGTCAAACGACGTATACTGGTTCAACGTGCTCTCGGAATGTTGAATCTGCGCTGCGTGAGATTAAATGAGGTAACCGGTGCGAGCAAAGAGCTTATTAATAAAAGCATCAAGAGGAAAGGCGGAAATTGCGGTAACTTGATAACTATAATAAATCTCGAACTTCAACTTTTAAGTCTTCAACTTATCGTTAAAAAAAGCTATATTCTTGATGTCTCTTAATGATCGTAATCATATTATGATCCAAATTAAAAAGTCATGTTACATCTTTGCATTAGTTCTATAAGTTTAAATAAAGAATTAATAAATATTAAAATGAAGATGATAGTGACAAAGAATTATCCAGAAACAATACAATTATAAGTAAATATAATTATTTGTTGCATTTGCAGGGGTGATACGTGTTAGTGTGTGTATATATATATATATATATATATACACAGGGTATTTCATTTTAAGTGATATGATCGATTATAAATTGAAAATTTTGAACATATATAAATAATTCACAATAACTGAAATTGCATTACGTGCGTGCAGTTTTGTTGTGTGTGTGAAAGAATTAATATTATTTTTAAATACTTCTTCATTTGCATCTTTTATCGCGTTTCTGCAAAATTATCTATGCATTTTGTTCTTTTCTGATTAATTTTTTTATTTTCCTTTTTATTATATGGCCATTCTTAAAAATTAACGCAAATAAATAAGAATGGCCATATAATAAAAAGAAAAATAAAAATAGAAAAGAACAAAATGCATAGATATTTTTGTAGAGGCGATAAAAAATGCATTTAGATAAGGCTGATAAGTATCATGTAAAATTATGAAGTTCATTTTTACTCAATAATGAATGCAGATTCAACATTTCCAGATCTGATTACTATGTGAAAAACAATGCTTTAAATACATATATTAATAGATAATTTGAATCAAGTAAAATGCAAGATAATAGAATCTAAAAACAATTATCTGCCACTAAGATAAGGTCTGTTCTTTTTCCACACCAAGTTCTGAATTGGTGTACACTGATGTAGTAAGTTAAAATGAGACATGTATAGTTTGTTTCTAACATATTGCACTAATTCAGAACTAGTTCAGAATTCTTAAAAAAAGAACAAACGGTTTATCTTTCCTAATATACCACATGAAAAAAATACGATGTCTATTCTTTTTACGAAGAAAATTCTCAACTGGTGCAATAAATTAGAATGAAATAGATATAGTTTAACATTTGTACAAAAACTTTGGAACAAATAAAAAATTATTACACATTGACATCCTGTGTTTGACTTCATAAGGCATCAATCTTAATGACAGTAGATATAGTTTGTTTCATTCTAACTTATTGTAGTAGTTCAGCACTGTTCGAAAAAGAACAGATCGATAGTTAGATTGACTATTATCTACAATCATTATAGACAAATCAAATTAAACATTTACAGAAATATGAAATAATTATGAACTAAAAAAGCTTTTATAAAAAAACCAATATAAATGATACAAGAAACAATATTACAATGAAACAATACGAACAAACCATAAAAAAATAGATTCTATATTTTTTCTCAATAAACTATAAATTTCTTTCTAACAATTTTTATATTTTTATATACTTTTATTGACTTGTTAATTATGATTTTTGTCAGTGGAATAATAATGTTAAACAATATTAAATAAATAATAATAGAATTGGAAGGTAATCAATAAAAAGTTAATCAAAAACTAAAATTAATTGTTTATAAATATTAAAAAATATAAGCTGCACAGATACTTTTATTAAATATATGTAAAAAGACATTAAATAAACTACTTATAGAAATAGAATATTGTTACTTGCATATAGTTCAATATATAACCTATTTATATAGTCTATATATAGAACACCTAAATTATGGATATATAATTGAGAAAAATCATTTTATAATATTTTTATCACAAAATTATATACAAAATCATATTAAGATTAGACAAAGCGTTTATGACTAGCTATTCTATATACAAAGGAAACATGGAAAATTTTGATTTTGAAATAAAATGGAATATAAAACTAAAATAATTAAATATAATAAATAAGGAAAATTACCTATATACATACAACAATCCAATAATTAAAAAAGCAAAAACGTAATTGAAGAATAAACATATGAACAGGTCCACATTATATATATCGCAAAATAAGAGGAAGAGAGGAGAAAAGGAAGAAGGCGGAAGAATCCGCTATTATTGGCTATTATACACACATAGTCGGAAATAAAATTGAAACATACGGGCATATGCTTTCAGCATTTATATCACTTTTCGATTCCTATTCGCTAGTTGTAGTTCGATTCCTATTCGCTAGGTTTGCTATCGTTACTTAAATATATTATATTTCCGTACTTCTCAACCCGTACGTAATATAGCCGGAAGAAGAAGGTAACAAAAGACGGTCGCCGCATAGAGGTGAACCGAATGAAAGCATGACGAGTCCCCCCCCGATGGAATTATTTACTTACCAATGTTATTAACGTTTCGCGAGGATGCGACTGATCAGCGATCGATCACGTACTTCGTTCAAAGGCCCCTGAAAATCTTTTTGGCGCGCCGTATGATTAACTTACGGCAAATTTTCTGCGAATATTCGCCACGTGCTCGGTGTTAGAAGTATGTTTCTCCGAGTAACGGATATGGCGACAACTCCACTAATTCTGGTGGTTACCGCTATGCGCTTCTGCTGGTGAATTTCCGTGTCTCGCCGCTTCACGCGCATCCTATCGGTCGCAGCTAGAGGCCCTATAATCAGAGTCCGGACACCTCGTATCCTCGACTGTGATTGGCCCGACATTTTTCTTTTATTTGCGCCAGTTATTTGAAAATTGAAATGTATTTTCGCAGAAACTAATACTTACAATAGAATTTATTAAAATTTTATTATTATTGTTATTGTTTAACTTTTGTATATATTATTAAATAATATTTCTCTATAATAATTTATGTACATATGTAAAAAGAGACGTAGAAAAAGAAAGGAGGACGTAAAAAAAGGGTTGAATTGTACAAAAAAGTGTAAGGCCGGAATCAGACTACGCATTGAAGATTGAGATTGAAGATTGAAGATTGAAATTTGA